GTGGAAAACCCAAAAATGAGGAAAAACCACGGCTAGCAGGGCCTCGCCCAGTTGTAAACTCGGTCCCACACTAGTATTATTTTTGTAGTATTACAAATGACGGGCATTTCGTCCACAAGTAGTCGGATAATCATCCCAACAACTACAACTTGGTTCTTTCGACGAAATTCACAAAATCCTGCGAACATAATCCCTGCGTTTCCTGAAACCACATGCCGGCAGACTCTCGGCCGTCTCACGGCCGGCAGGCGAAAAACTTCTTGGCTAACCGGCGATCCTACGTGGTCGAGGACCCGGTTAGGAATCACCTTATTCCGCCTTTTCTCTTTCTCCTTCTCCTTCTTCTTCTCTTCTCTTCACTTGAGTTCCCTTTGGCTTTGTAGAATGAGGGCTCTTATTATAGTTTTGTCTGGAGATGGATTAAGCCCGTAAAATAGGCGTGAGTTCCAAGCGAATTGGGAGGTATTTGAGATGGGTGACGGGGCCGCAGGTGGATCGGATATCTTTTGATCAACACCTTCGTTTGGACATCTTGAAGGCCTTAATTGATGTTGGAATTTGAGACTTGGGCTCTTTGGATTCGGTCTCGTCGAAGAGCCGTTCGATTCGGTTTAAAGTCGTACAATCGGAGACCGTTTGGTACTTAAATTACGTTTGAACCCTTTCCCACAACAAAGGGGGGCCGGGGCTTTTATGAACCCTTGCATTCGGACTCATTTTGGCTCGATTGGGTTGATCTTCGGTGTCGTTGGGTTCGTATTTCCGAGACGCTCAGTTTGACTCTAAGCTCATTGGAATCGGAGTTCATATGCTCCCGAAATTATTTTTTGAAGTTTCCAACTAACTTTTGCTTCGAGATTCGTGCCCAACAAGATAACTATTGGTTGAGCTTTGGCTTCCAACTAAGAGGTTCAGGGTTCGAGTCTATGTGTATGCGTTGTGTATGAATTTGCCTTAAATGGCCTAAATGTCCCAAAAAAAAATGCGAGTCTACTCAGACTCACTTACTATCAAAAGCAGAATTATTTTGGAAATGATAAAGTAATGCTTGATTGCCTTAGATATTTGACACGTCATAATTGGGGAAAAAAGAAACTGGTGGTTTTAACAGTTTTTGGCCCCACCGTGTCTTTCTCTCCAGGATGCGAAAATAGAGGCGGACAGCGGGCCCCATTCCCTTAGCGTACAGTGCGCATATTCTCAGAATGTCCTGCATAAAAAAAATTTTATTTCTTGTCTCGATCATTTTTAAATTACAATTACAGATTTTCTGATTTGTAATTTAGCTCAATAAATCTAATAGAATACGAAAAGGACGCCACAGACGCGTGGCATGACGCTGGCTTGGGGATTCGTCGATTCTATGCTGCCCTACTTCAAAAAATATATAGAATTTTTTTCTGCTCGGGCTCACTGATTTTTGGAGCTTTACTCTACTTGTAATTTAAAATTAAGAATAAAATTATTTTAAAGTATTTTATTCCTACTCTAATTTCAATTGATTATTCTTTAATTAAAATTAGTTATTCTCTAGCTCTTGTATAATTATAGAAAGTGACTTAGGATTTAAGGTTTAGAAGTTAGGATTTATACTTTAGAGTTTAAGACTTAGGATTTAGAATTTAGAGTTTAGGGTTTAGGATTTAGGGTTTAGGGTTTATGACTTAGACTATTTAGAAGAAGATATGGGGCCAGCTAGCAGTTAGATTTCTCTTTTAATTATCTTGGTGTGATTATGACTTCGTTTGTGACGATTTTTTGTTGCTTCTTATAGTAACTTTTTAGTACGAAAATTAAAATTTTTATACTATAAATTTGCTTTAATGAATTATTTTTTCTATATTATAAAGTTCATTATTTTCAACCAAGTCAATCATCTCAATATGAATAACACTTGTTTAAACCTTGTTTAAACATAGCTTATAATTTTTTTAATATAATTTAAACATTGTTCAAACCATAAAGTCCGTTAGGTTAAATGTTGTAAGCAGATGGTTTAACTTAAGCTATCCTCTACCCATTTTGTATTTACGATGTTACCCATATGCTTCTATATATACATTTGTAATCATACCTTACGGTTAATAATATACTTCATATTTTCCTTTCTACTTGCTCTGTCTTCCCTGTTCTTGTTCTTCGTCTCTCTCTATGCCGAACTCTAATCTCTTTCATGGTATCAGAGCCAGGATGGGGGATCAAGAATCGACTTCAACCCTCCCTGCCCCCTCCACCATGCTATATGGATTAATCTCTTTCAATTGTGACTCAATGTGTCACATGGGACCACATTGTTGTGCAAAAAACACAGTAAAAAAAATAAATCACACAACAAACAACACAAATAATATGATGATTTATGTGGTTCGGCGAAGATGCTTACATCCACATGGAGGGGATGATGATTTCACTGTATTGGAAAACAATAGGGATTGCAATAGGCACTCAAGCTCTCTCTTACTCTCATGCATACAACAACAACCATAGGCCTTATTTATAAATTTGACATAAGATCTAATAAAAATAATAATTAATGTAAAGATTTAATCATGCCAATTTGATCTCTCAATCAGTGCACTAATTAAATATTATAATTAAAGCCAATCAATATCCCCTAACTAATGCATCAATTAAATCCCTAATTAAATCTTCAATCAAATCCTCAATTAATTCTCCAATCAAATCAACTCCCTAATCAATCATATAAATTTGTCATCAAAGCTTTCCAAAATAAAACTTTAATTAGTTTTGAAAATAATTTCAAATCAACACACATTGGGTTAAATTTAAGTAGTATAGTCAACCTAGGTTGAGTTTAATAAGGATTATAAACTAATCATAAATTTGGAGATTTTTATTTGAATTGGTCTATTTGTGAGTCATCTTAGTTTATTAGGATAATATTGGTCATGTCACTCGAAGATTCAATTAATTTAGCTTGCAACAGTCATACCAAGGTTGAGCTAGCCCAATCAACTTTGTTGGGATTGAAGTCTCCTAGTAATTTATGGGTTATCCAATAGAATTCAATGACATATGGGTGAAACTATCCTTAATGAGTTGATTGGTTATTGATCAAATGGTGAGGTGGCCAAATTGGGCTGGTCTTCAAGTAGAGTATTCTAATCATGTTATGTATTTGATCAGTTTTATGCTGAACTTGTATTATTGGTTCACCTTAATTTTGTTTTTTTAAATAATTGACTATTCAAAGATTGGTTATTGATCGAATGGTGATGTGGCCAAATTGGGCTGGTCTTCAAGTAGAGTATTCCAATCATGCTATGTATTTGGTCAGTTTTATACTGAACTTGTATTCTTGGTTCACCTTAATTTTGCTTTTTAAATAATTGACTATTCAAATCTAAAATGAGCTTATATAATTATTTATATAGAAATTAATAATAATGCATATATTTTTCTTTAATTACACATCTCAATTAGATACCTCTCACACAAGGGTCTTCTTTTCTTGGTTAAATCCACTTTTTAAAGTATAGTAGCCAACTTATTAAATGTTTTTTTAGCTTGTAATAATATATATTTTTTTTAATATCTTGTGTCTATTGTCTTTCACATACTGAGAAATACAGTATTTTTCATAAAATAAAATAAAAAAGAAAAACCATTTAAAATCAAAACATTTTATTAGCATTTAATAAAATTCACAGTATTATCTTATTTTTTCTGAGAGTTTCATGTCTACAAATGATGCATACTTTTTTTAGGAGAAAATATCGTATTTTAAAATATTTTATTTGAAATATGTAAAAGATGATTAATGATTATCCTCATAATTAATGTTACACATAAATCTATTCGAGAAGAATATTATAAATGATATTTGCACTATTCATATCAACATATAATTATATCGTATCCACAATATTAAATTACAGAAAAAGTTAACTTGTCTTGATAAATCATAAAAAATCGATTTCATCGGATATGAATCTCGATGAATTGTTGAATTGAAAACTTCTAAAGTAAAATTCAGAACCCTCCGAACTCTAATTTTAGCAATTTGAAGTTGAATTGAAAGTCTCCATGAGAATAACACACAAATGATTCAATCCGGATCCAATTGAGCCCAAATCAAACACTCAAAATGTAGTTATTTGTTGCTTTCTTAAATTTTGAGTGGATTTGGAATTTGCTTGTGTTGAGTGAATTCCAAACACATAATTTGGGTAAAAGTGATCTTGGCCGCTTGCTGCTGCTAGGGGTGCAAACGAGTCGAGTCTAACTCGAGCCAGGCGGTATTCGAGTCGAGATTTACTACCAAATCCAGGTCTCGAGCTCACGCTATAACTCTAGTCGAGCTCGAGCTCGACTAGTCTCACATCGAGTGGCTTGTCGAGCTTCGTCATGAGCATGCTAGTAACATGGGAGCTCCGTCGCCCCGAGGTCAACTAGCAAGCCTTGTCAACTTCATCGTCCCGAACTCAACTGCTTAACTCATCAGCTCTATCGTCATCATTTCATTTTCCCTCGTCGAGATTTCGTTTTTCTGTCCACGTCGTCCTGTGATTTGCTTTTTCTCGGCGGAATGTCACATCCGCGAGTTGCTCGACGAGCTGACGAGTTGAGCGTAGGTTAGTTTGAGCTCGAGCTCTATAAGCCATCGAGCTCTGAATTGTGTTCGAGCTTGACTCGCGAGCTTGATAAGCTCGACTCATCGAGCCTGTTAACTATTCAGGTTAGGGCCAGCTTTGAGTCGGCTTGACTCGATTGTACCCTAGCGGTTGCTATTCTTTTCCATCTATTTCCCGCCACTTCTTTCACTGTATATTTATGATATACTCAATCAAATAGTTTAAAATTTTAAAAATATTAATAATATAATACATTTATTTATTTTGCATATGTATATGCATAAGATGTCATGTGTGTGAATTCAAAGCTAAATGATGACGCATGTGATGAAGGGAGCATTGTTTTAGACTATGGACGGCACAATGATATATGCACAAGAAATCGTAGCGCCAATACCCCCTAAAGTTCCTTCCGCCTTTGTCTTAAACCTAACTTGTCGATCTCTATATAAGAGTTGACGATGTTTGGCTACTGCAGCAAGAAATCAGAAAGACGTTACTTTCGCACTTCTTCTGGAAATCATCCTCCATGCAATTCTTATATCTGCCATCTCTATATAATTACTTTCTCAATCGCTATGTCATGATATTATAGCGAATAAATCTTTTGAAGTCCACTGAAATGGGACAGCCGCCGGGGAGAACTGCAGAATTTGAGGAGTTTGCCGTCCTTGTTGGCGCCGGGGAGGATGAAGAGGAGCCGCTTCTTCCACCGCTCAACTTCGCTGTGGTGGAAACCGGCGTTTTCCGTTCGGGGTTTCCGGAACCTGCTAATTTTAATTTCCTCCAAACTCTACGGCTTCGCTCTGTCGTGTGAGCGCTTCGATTTCATTATGTTCTGTACTTTTCAGTTTTTTTTTTTTTTTTTGACTTACTAAATGGATTACTGTGGACCTGTGGTAATTTCAGGTATTTGTGCCCGGAGGAATACCCGAAGGCTAACATGGAGTTTTTAAATGTCAATGGGATTAGGCTCTTCCATTTCGGAATTGAGGGGCACAAGGTAATGATTTTATTTATTTTCTTGGTTTTGTGATGAAGATGAGGGGCGTTTGGTTAATGGGAAAATTGCTTGCTTATTTTCTGATTGATTACCTCTATGTATCCGCACTGCATATAAAAATTTCTCTCGGTTCAGGGAATTGTTAAGGGGCATTTGGCTGCTTCAAGCCAGAAAGCAAGTTCTAGAAAATGGCTATATTTGCTAGATTCATCATTTGTTGGGTGTAATTACAAATCAACATTGATTTTAAGCTTTAAAAATCCTCTCAACACCTTCATGATTTGAGCATGATTACTTGAACATGCCTGATTTGAATTAACCGTAGTCAAGTTTTTGTTGATTATAGGATATGGTCACGTCTTCTAGTTGTGATCAAGATGTCTTTTTATGAATAATTTTTTCCTTCATGGCGATAGAAAGTTCTGAATTTGATTTCTACTTTGCTTCATGTTATAAGAACTATGTGGTGTCATGTGCCTAATCCTGATGAGGCATGAAATACTCATGTTCTAGCGGGAGGAATTTATTTCTCGTAGTGGCGACTGATGGTCCAATTGGCTGCTCTCTCTGGATCCTTTCAATTGTTCTTTAATGGAAAGTTGAAATTATTTTTTATGAAACTGAGACAAGCCTTATGTAATTGATAGAGTAGGGGATGGGAAGGATTCCAGGGCACAAATTGGTGGAAAATGCACTGCTATTAGTGGGATCTGTTTGCTGCTTCCGCATTGATTTGAAATTTATATCTAATGTCATACTTTTGGAGTTTTCAAATGAACTGGAGACAAGCATTTATCTTGTTTCCCATTAAACTAAATTCTAATTAGTGATAGGCTGCAGAAATAACAATTGATGTTAATAAAGGATAACCTTTTTTGGTGTTTTATCAGATTAACTTAGTGTGTTTTTAACTTATAGTTTTATTTTTTGCTAGAATTTTGTGTGATAATAGTTTCTTAGCTAAGACCATGATAAGGGGGTACCCATCTGAGTTAGAAATGCAAAGATTTTCATGATTATATTGCTAAGAGCTCTCCTAAGAATTCAAATTTCTAGCCAAAAATTAAAGAATGTAGATATTGACTTTTAAAATAAGTTTGCAGAGTCCAAGAAGAAAAAAAAAAGCATTTGGTTTATGATTTCATTTTAATGGTTACTCTAATGTGCAAAATTTACATTAATTTAGTTTTAGAGCGAAGATAGGTTGCTATGGAAAAAATGAGAAGGATCATTGATTATTCTAATGGCCTAAAAAGTGTACACATGATATGTTGAGCTTCAATAAAATGAGTACAAGATTAAAATAAAAATTAAAGTTTATGGATTGCATGTCTGAGTGATATTGAGTCGAGTTCTAATGAATTTGGATTTGCTCAAATTTGGAATTTGGTTATCAACTCCATTCTAAATTGATACAATTTTGAATCAAGTCAATGCAACTCAAAATGTTTTGATTCTAAATAAACTTGAAATCATTTTAGAGTCAGCTCAAAATGATTCAATTCTGAGTAAACTTGGAACTAATTCAAAATTAATTTTTAATTAATGCTTTAACATCCATATTATATTATTATGTTATATACCACACACATTGTAGATGCTAATTTTGAGTAAACTCGATTGTTATTTCAAGCCTTTTTAACAGCTGTAGCTGTGTGGTTTACGCCAGATACTTTGTAGCATAAATAAAGCCTTGCTGTGTAAATGAAAACAGTTGGTTGCATTTACTTTACATGGCTTTTGAGAAGGGAATGAACAAAAATTATGTTGATGTGAAGTAATTGCAACGTTACTGCAATAAACCAAACACACAAAGGTACCTATTTACTTTACACCTTTTTTTCACTAAACCCAACAACCACTAAGTTGATCTTGATGAAAAGGAATAGAGACTCCAAGGAAACTGTAGTTGATATGTGTGCTTGAGGAGAATCTTGTGCCTGGTATTTTGTGGCTGAAATATCGTTGTCATTTTCTTGGAAAAAAAAAAATTCAATTATTGTGTAATATCAATTATTTACTCAGTTTTCCCCTTCTTATTTCCTATAGTTAATCCTCCAAGAAGCTGCTGCTTGTTATTAGGAAGGCGGCCTCCAACAGAAATGAAGTCTTTCAGTCTTTACTTTTAGCCAATAAGCCTTCCTGAAAGTCCAAGAAAAATCCCGCTATTGATTTTTCTGATATAGCAAAATAGTATTCCTTATACAAAAAACTGGTCACATGTTAATCTATATCTTTCCATTCTCTTTATTGTTTTAATTAATTTATTTAAATGATGTATTGAGGATTCTCTTCCCCTTGATCACTTCCTTGAGAAAATGAAAGATCACAAGAATTCATCTGCGTTAGCTACTTTCTCATGTGCTCACATGCCTCTTTAAGATAAATCTCTTTTCCAGCAACTAGCATTTATAGTTTGCCAGTACTGTGCATCATTCACTTTCAAATGCCTCCTTTCTTTTGCCTAGCTGTTTCTGATTCACACCATGCGTAGTAATCTTTTTCTTTATTTCCCTTTCTCATTCCATTAAAAAAATCCATTACTTTGTGTTTGGCAGGTGGTATCATATTCTCATTTTCTTCTATCGTTCAAGCAACTCACATGCTTGTTTTCTTGTGATACTCATGCTCACCTTGATTTGTTACTGACTCTGCTCAATTTTGAACTTTATTGCATGCTGAATACTTCCCACTGGAAGTGAATGGGGCTTTGTATTTGGGCATTATTTTTGTATCAAGTCATGGCAAAAGTATCTGATGAACTATATATGAACCGCCTGTGGAAAGTAGTTGGTCGCCCATTGCTCATTAGGAGCTCCATCCTTCCTATTGTTTGAGTTAGGTTATTGGCACCTAATATATTGATTTCTAGTAGTCATTTGAGTGCATAACTTGGAGCACATGTCTCTAAGTGTTAGCATTCTGTGAGCTTAAGCTGAGTGATTATACAAAGGCATGTATGCTTGCTATGTCTGTTGAAAACCAATGTCTCTTCATCTTTAATTAGCTTGACAGGAATTGATTTGGTCGCAAAAATATCCGTATAGCTCGTGTAAACTGAAAGAGAATTCTATTCACATAGTCTTCTATGGATTCGTCAAACTCCAAATCAAGGTCAAAGAAAGATGATTTTAGAATGTCAATGAAGCCTTCTTGATCGTAGACGAGGCCAGAATCAAACTCTGGATCCGCCATCCATAGACAAAGGAGCTTCCTCTCTTGGGTCCTTGAAGGCCGGCGGCTTGGGAAGGAGGCATGGAGGGATGGGGTCGGCGGTTTGGTGGTTTCGGGTGGAGGGGACGGCTAGGGTTAGGTGGGGCTTAAGATCTTTTAGGTTAATTACCAAGGAAGGTAATTGATCCTAAGAATTAATGGGGGTGGAGGGAAAATAGAATTCAAATTTGAATTCCACAATTTAGGGCAAGGGGGGAGGCGACGACATGCATGGAGAAGGAAAGGATTGAGGGGGAATTCAATGTTTCCTAAACCATGAATCTAATTTAGGAATAGGGTAATCCAATCAAATCTAATTTAAAATTAAATTAGACTCAATTTAGATACTTTCCTATTTTAGGTTGTTTAATTTAGGAAATTATTTGAAATTCAAATTTAAATTTCAAATTTAATTATTTCTTTCCTAAATTATTTAGGACAATTTAGGTATCCAATAATGATGATTGAAATCATCATTAAGAGGGGGTAAGGGGGTTGGGTCTGGCTGCGGGCTTGGGGAAATGGGTTTGGCCGGCGGTTGTGGGGCTTGGCAAGGGGGTGATTGGAAGGTGGCCGGCGGTTGGAGCAAAGGGAGGGGAGGGCCGGCGGTTGGAGGCAAGGAGAAGGACGGGCCGACGATTTGATGCAATAGAGAGGAGGCGAACCACGAGCTAGGGATACTTCGGACGACTGGTGGATGTTGCTTTGCTCACACCTTGAGACTTCAACACTCAAGAACTCACAAACTCAATAAGAAATCATAATTTTTCTATTAATTAATCATCCCCCAAATACAAAGTGTAGGGCCTCTACATATAGGCCTCTACAAAGAAGAAAACTCAAAGACAAACATGCCCTCCGGGCTACAACTCACTAAATTCCCTCATAGGGGTACAAAGGTCAAACTAAAACAAAAAATAATAATATAATACAATAACATAAAATAACTCATAAATAGATGCTCTTGATCATGGCTGTCAATCTGCGATGTCTCCTGTGATAGACGCGCCGGAACCTTCTACTGATGTCCTCATTTAGAGAAGTGCTTCATGTTGCTTCATTTTTGTTAACGAAATATGTGAGAACAATAACTTTTTTTTTCTCCACAGATCAATGCTAAAAATTACATTTTCAATACCCGTTTGACTATATTTAACCGAATATTATTGTGTTGTTAGCCTTTAGGCACCTCTTTGAAGAACATTAACTGAGGTCATGGTGCCTAGCGAAGTCTCAACTTTGGCGTTAGGTTCTAAAATGAACACTACAGTATTACAGTTGATTTGCGGCTGACTTTACAACTGCCCTCTCAGATGGCCGCATTTAACTTGCAACCTCCTTTGTGACTTGTTTTAATTGGCCAAAATCATCCCATATAACCCGAGACAATTCCTCATTTTTTCCATTCTCCTTTCCAAATCTCTAACTCGCTCTAGTGCATACCTGGAGATCCTTTCGCTGTAACCATGCACACTGACCTCCTCCCTGTTGCAACCAGCCTTTAGCAACAATCTCTTCATTGCCGCATTGCAACCGAAGCTGAATGCAAATTCTGCACGAGCTTCCAAATTAGCAGCCACTAAAACCGAGCTTATTTTGACTGGTGAAATGACATCTTTGCAATAATGATCATGAACAATTCATTTTGAAACAGTTTAGCCACCCACCGCGGCTTAGCTCAGGTGGGGGGAGCTCGGCTGGGCAAAGCCCAGGTCCCGGGCTCGAATCCCTTGGGTGGCCGTGACAGCCTTAAGTGTTGGCCCGGATAAATGGTGTGGGTTGCTTGCTAGGACGATCGGAATTTACGAACAACAAAGCAGAAGGGTTTCTCGTTACAAAAAAAAAGCTTAGCCAGCACAAACGAAAACTGAAACCAACTTTTTTTTTCCTCAGGAACCATTTGTTAACATACCAGAAGAGATCATCCGTGAGGCTCTCAAAGTTGTTCTGGGTATCAAACCTGCACATTCAACTAAAGCATTGCATCTTTCATGATTTTTGAGAAAAAGCTTTCTCAAATCTGGCTCTTTTTTTTTTTTTTTTTGCAGACATTCGAAATCACCCGCTGCTTATCCATTGTAAAAGAGGAAAGGTATAATCTGTTATCTAATGCTTCATTTGGAACGGTTTTTTTACTGTTTCTTATAACTTCCTAGTAAAAAATTAAAATTTTTATACTAAAAAGTTGCTTTAAGAAGCAGCTAAGAAAGCCATTCCAAACAAAACCTAAATACTTTTTATTTTTCACTTTCAACGCCTGAACCCTTTCCACTAATATAGATTTTTTGTATGTAAACCGCAGCATCGTACTGGATGTGTCGTTGGATGTTTAAGAAAACTGCAAAAATGGTGTTTGTCTTCGGTATTTGATGAGTACCAGCTGTTTGCTGCTGCAAAAGCAAGAGTTTCCGATCAAAGGTTCATGGAGAGGTTCGATGTAGCTAGCTTGAAGCATCTATCACCACCATTTTGCCGTTTAAAAGGTTCAGCAGTTGCTTGAAGTGGCTTCCTTACTGCAAATGAGAAAGGCAGATAAATTATCTGTTTAAGTCCAGTTATAGGAAGTAATGCTATACTATTTTATGATCTGGAATATTTGGGTGGTTTGTAAATCAGGTAGCAGTGATTGACTGCTTCCTTCCTTTGTAAAACCAGCTCGTAGATAATTTTAAGAGCAATTCCATTCAAGTGGAGCTCCTTTTTTGAGATAACTTTGAGATCTTTTTGCCATATTATGGTTTATATAACTATTATGCTCATAAGCAGTTAAATACTGAAAATTAGTTGGTGTACCAAATATCAAATACGATTAATACTAGATTATTATTTGATTATTTATTTTATGCTTTGAGGATTTAAGTGATTGTGATATTTTATTATATTAACTTATCATATATTAATCTTAATAAAATTAATTAAATCATAATTAGCATAAAATAACATCTCAATTAATCATTGCTTAGTAATTCACTAAATTTATTAAACAATTCTTCTTATTTGGCCTTGTTAGAGGAGGCTTAAATTAACTTAGGCTTCGTAGGGATGGCTTTCTTACCGTTTCTTCAAATAGTTTTTTAGTTCAAAAGTTAAAAATTTTGTATTTGAAAGCCGCTTTAAGAAGAAATAAAAAAGTCGTCACAAACAAAGCCTTAATCATAACTCTCGTCATTATCCCTCTTCTCTTTATAGTGCCCGTAAAAACCCTCTTTCTTGGTAATACTGTTTTTTTTTTTTTCAATTTTAATTATGAAAGTTAAACTATAACTAACATAGATAATATCTTAACTAATTAATAACAAGTCATTTATGAAGGTAATTAAATATAATAATATCTATTTCATCAAATTAAATAATAAATAATAAAAATAAGCCTAAATTACATTTTTTGGTTCATTAATAATAATTTATTTGAATTAATTTCAATATATATCAATATTTTTTATTTAGCATTAATTAATAGCAATAATTTAAAATATATTATTGGCTCAACCTTGCTCAAAAAATGACGACATGTTCCTAGTGTTGTCTCTGTGGTGCTTGGCTTCTTCCTCCGCGTGCTGAGGGAAGCACTTTTCCCCTTTCGTTTTTTTTGTTCTTTTGCTAGAATAACAATTTGTCGTTTAGCCGATCCTAGTTTTCTGGATGGATCGGCTAGGTCCCGCTCGTTTTTGGAAGCTTTAGCGGGATCATCTCCTGGTAGATTTCCTGTTCTTATACGATATTCTTTTCGTGGCGTTTCTGCTTTTTTTGTTTTGGAATATGAGTTTTTTGCTCTTGCTGAACCATTTAAGTTTTCACTTGTTGGCTTCTTCCCTTTGAGTCCCCATTTTTTCTCTCCTCGTATCTTGCATGGATTAGGGCTTCTCTTTGGTAACTCGTTGAAGGTGGATAATGCCACTACGTTGGGGTCTCGCCCGTGTGTTGCCCGTGTGCTGGTGGAAATTGATATTACGCATAAATTTTCGGACAAGATTTGGATAGGACCAAAGAAGCTAGGTTATTTTTTAGCAAGTTACTATGGATGACTTTCCTCTGTTTTGCCCCAAATATAAACGTCATGGTTATTCTTTTGGTGACCGCCGACCTACTCTTGATGCTAGCTTGCCTGCTGCTCCTTCTTTATCTAAACCGAATTTTACGGGTTTCTGATGATATTGACATTCCTGTTGGGGATTTAGGGGATACGACTCTTATCCTTCATAATATTTCTGTTGTTGGTTCGTTTCCTATTGTTTTACCGCCTGTGTCTCAGGACATTTCTGTGGTTCTACCTCCCATTGGTTTGCCCGTTATTGGTGATGTTGGGGTTGAGTTAATTTCGTCTTGCCAATTTCAGTCTTTGGTTGTCCCTATTTCGGTTGCTACTATTTGTTCAGGTGGCTCTCCTGTTGTTTTGGTAGAGCCGGTTGATGTGCTGAATTTTGTTGTTCATGTTTTAATGCATGTACTATGGGTGTGCCTTATGTCTGGCAAGTGTCTTGTCTTGATCTCTCCGTTGCAGCTCTTGTGCTTGCTGATGCTATTCGTTCTAATTTTTTTCCCATTGTTAATGGGAATTAGGGTTCATGGTGCGATAGATGGAATTGATTCTTTTAGTGTGGCTCCTGTCATTGTGGCTGTATCTGATATTAACTATTGTATTAATCTTAGTTTTAGTCCGATTGTTGGTGATGGTGCGAAATGAAAGTTTGTTAGGGATGTTAAGCCCTTATGAACTTAGTCCCAAGCTAACTAAGAGGGGGGGGGGGGAAAGGAGCCAATCGGACTTCGAACACTTTGAATTTAAATTTGGAAGATCCTGATTTAGTTGTAACACCTATTGAGATGACTCCAGATAATTCTGATAATTCTGATTTAATTTTGGATAGTTCTGATTTAGTTTTGGATAATTCTAATTTAATTCTGGATAATTCTGATCGTGACTTAGATAATCTCGAGTTGGAAGTGAGTCAATTGAATTTATCATCTGATTTAAGTGAAACAGAACCCATGGATCTTAGGGTTGCAACCAAACCTAAGTCTCGTTTGGAAGATAGTACTTTGAGTCTGAAAGTTTTTGAGCCTGATTTGAGCAATGAGCCCCCTCTTGTTTCAAATATGGAGTCATCTCAATATGGATGATTTTCCTCTTTTTTGCCCCAAATATAAACGTCTTGGTTATTCTTTTGGTGACCGCCGACCTACTCTTGATGCTAGCTTGCCTGCTGCTCCTTTATCTAAACCGAATTTTACGGGTTTCTATTGATATTGACATTCCTGTTGGCGATGGGGATGTTGGGGATTTAGGGGATACGACTCTTATCCTTCCTAATCTTTCTGTTGTTGATCCGTTTCCTATTGTTTCACCGCCTGTGTCTCAGGACATTTATGTGGTTCTGCCTCCCATTGGTTTGCCCGTTATTGGTGAAGTTGGGGTTGAGTTAATTCCGTCTTGCCAATTTCAGTCTTTGGTTGTCCCTGTTTTGGTTGCTACGATTTTCTTCGGCTGGCTCTCCTGTTGTTTTGGTGGAGCCGGTTGATGTGTTGAATTCTGTTGTCCATGCTTTTAATGCATGTACCGTGGGTGTGCCTTCTATCAGGCAAGTATCTTGCCCTGATCTATCCGTTGCAGCCCATTGCGCTTGCTGATGCTATTCATTCTAATTTTTCTCCCATTGTTAATGGGAATTGGGGTTCATGGTGCGATGGATGGAATTGATTCTTCTAATGTGGCTCCTGCCTTTGTGATGCTTCTAGTGTATGTGTCTATTTCTACATTTCAAATGCTAATTTGTTAGCCAATGTTGTTAGAAATGTTAGGTGGCAATGTGATTGGTTAATGACATGGTTATTGATAGTGTGGAGGACTTTATTGATAACACCCTGGATACATGCTCTCTCGAAAAATTTGTTAGGCAACTTAAATGGAATTCTAAGAAGAAATGATTTTCTTCTTTTGGAGGTTATGGGATGTGCTATTTGGTTTTTATTTTTTATTTATGTTTTCGTTGCGATGCTGGATTCAATTCGGAATGGACGATGAGGAAATAGCTTTGATGCATGTGCCTTGGATGGCCAGGGTTGTTTTGCAACCTGGGTTAGCTCGATGCGGCTTTTCGGTTCGGATGTGTTGTCTGTCCTCCATGGATGGCCCCTCCTTGACAACTTGGAGTCGGTCTGAATCCGATCTTCTTCTGATTTTGTCTTTCCTACTCTCACTTTGCTTTGCTACTAGTGTTTTTTATTTTATCTTTAATTATAATTCTATTGATGTGGCCCTTCTTGAAGTATTGTGATGTATCTTTATATCTTATTGAAATTTTTTGTTTTGGTTTAAAAAAATATTTTAATTTAAAAAATATAAAAAAATATGAAATGTTTGCCTTTCTTACTAAGATTTGTGTATTGCCCACAAAGAAGCAAGAAAGTTGGCATGTGGGGTTGCGAAAAAGGCATCTATGTGACCAATAGAGGAGTGTAAAGAAGAACATTTCCTAAGTGACTTATGAATTCAAGTTAAATAAACAACTCATATTGGTCTGTTGGTTGGGAGCTTAGTCTACCAACTAAAAGGTCTTGGATTCGAGTCTTGTGTATGTGATGTGTGTGAATCTGCCTTAATTGGAATAAATTTCCAAGAAATAATAATTTCAAGTTAAATACATTTAATATCAAGATTTACTAAAATCTGGATTAGACAACAATGGAGAATTGTTATTTAAAATTATGTAGAATTTAAATTATAAATTTTGCTGGTTGAGGTTTTAGGGCATATCCAACTGAAAATCTCATTTTTCACTTCAAAAATGGGGTGAAAACTAAAAAAATGCTGTGAATTCATCTCCAATTGACATCCATTTTGCGTGCTTCTACGAAGGTAACTGTCTTTTCTCATATTTCACACACGTTTTTTTGGGCATTTGTTGGGAAAGAAAAAATCGATGGGTGAAGCAGTGGGCCACGTCAATATTGACATCACAGATGTTCACATCCAAGCAAATAGTGGAATATTTAGCATTCGGCTGGAGAGACCGAATGATACCACACAACATGTTTAACGTTTAGTTGGAATGCCCTTAGGTTAAATCATGCATAAATGCTGCTCAAATTTAGTTGCCAACGCCTTTAATTTGAAAGATTTCTAATGATTTGCACAATTCTATCTAGGAGTGTTCAAGAGTTTTGGATCACAGATTTTAGAGATCATATATAATATAATCAACCCTTTCTTCAATATTCTCGTTCAGAATTTGGTTTGAGTCGGGCCGGAATTGGGTTCCAAAATGGTTGGAATACCGTTCTGGGAGTTGAAATTCCGTGGCTAAGATCCATGACCCAAGAGATGAGGTTTCGGCGGTCTATTTTCCCCGCTCGATTTGGCGCTCTTTCCCTGGTTCTGCGCATTCTCTGTCCCGCAGGCAGACTGATATGCTTGTCACACAGCCTCGCCTGCTTGCTTACTCTTCTCTCTCTGTTTCGCGTCTCTTCCATCCCTCCCACCCTTTTTTTTTTTTTTTTATTTTTTTACCCTTTCCGCAGCCAACTGCTCCCGGCCCTTGGACCCCGCAACGGCCGAAGATCGGTTCTCGCGAAAGCCTCGTCTCTTCGTCGCTCTCTTCTCACTCCGCCCCTCCTCGCCAGCGAGGAAGAAGAGGTTCTCTGAGTCTTGACCCAGAAGACGAGGATGAGTTTAGGACGAGGATGAAGAAGACGAGAAGATTCGCCGGCGGAG